TTCCCAGATGCATGTCCCCCTGGCGTGGTGTCCACTGCATTAAGAAGGGGATACAATGGAAATTATACATGTGCTAAAACAGTGCTTCTCTTTATTAACGATGCTAATTCATGTTGTTGTTCTGGATGTTGTTATTGTTGGCCTGACCTCCAGCCTGTCCTCCTGCCGGACCACCTCCTGTGCCAACTGCCACGCCACCTGCGACACCACCATTTTTCCAGCACCACCTCCTGCTCCAACTGCCACACCACCTGCTACACCACCATTTCCTCCACCACCACCTCCTGCGCCAACTGCCACGCCACCTGCGACACCACCATTTTTTCCAGCACCACCTCCTGCTCCAACTGCCACGCCTCCTACACCACCTGCCACGCCGCCTCCTGCGGCACCTGCCACGCCACCTGCGACACCACCATTTCCTCGACCACCACCATTGCCTAGAATAAAGGAATGAATGAGTTAATAAATAACCAAAGCTTCCTGCAGTTTGGCTATCCCTGTAACACGACTAATAAAAGCATGTGATAGAGACAGCAGATGACACGGAGTAGGCATGAAATTGTTAGCCGAATGAAGATTCCCTTAAATACTAGTATTTCTTACCTGCCGGAAAGGCAACGGCCACACAAACGGGCACGCGTTGGACCCTTCTGTTCTGCATGATCGTCTGCAGCCTCAGAGCTTGGGGGATCCGCCCAAGAAGCCCGCCTAATGTGAAAAGAAACAGGAAAAGATTTTGTAGCTAGTACAGCTGTAGGAACAGTTGCACGCATGTCAGCCAACGTGTTTTTAACAAAACTAACTAAAGGTGAACACTTACCCTCAGCTGGCACATCCAACCCCGACATATTGTCATCTTGGGTGAGCTCTACATCTGCCAACCAGGAAAAACCGACAGCATTAACACAACAAATCATAACTGAATGTTTATTGAGTTACTGGTCCTTTGACCGCGCTTTTCCAAAGGTCAATAAAACTGCACTAGTCTGTCACAGGTATCCTGATGTCAACAGGTTACAAAACTGATTTGGTTTCGTCAGCTCATTTAGTCTTTAAAACATATTTTTAAGCTCTTTCAAGAGGTATATAATTCTTAATAGCATGCATCGTATCTAGACTACTTATAACTTGGGCACATACCTGTCCAAGATGTGGTTGCCACCCAGTCCTCCTGAGTCATAGTCAAAGCTATTGAGGGAAAATTGAAGAGAAATTTGCAGTGTAATTGGTGTAACCAAGGAGTGTAATGCATATACCTCTTACATGTACATCAGTGATAGACAATGATGACTACAAATTTAATGAAAAGAAAAGGATAACTGCTAAGCTGTTGTAGTTGTTTACTTACAAGTTTGACCTTCAGAATATCTCTCCGCATCTTCCACGTCCAAGCTGTTTTCATCCTCCCATAACCTTCTCAGCGAAGGTAACGATTCCATGGGATCTTCATCTGACACGCTTACGATTGACTCAGCCTCGTCGCTTGCTCCGCCGGACTCATCCCGCTGGTTTGCCTCGTCGCTTGCTCCGCCGGACTCATCCCGCTGGTTTGCCTCGTCGCTTGCTCCGCCGGACGCAGCCCGCTGGTTTGCCTCGTCGCTTGCTCCGCCGGACTCATCCCGCTGGTTTGCCTCGTCGCTTGCTCTAGCCCCATCTTACCAATAGGACTTAAACCTTGTGTTCTCTACAAGAGTACAAGTGTCCTCTTAACTCTTCTTCAGATTCTCCACTTGGATCCTCTCCCAAACCCTTCCAGCCTCTTCACCAGCCGTATAGTAGTCTCTTGGCTCTCGCAGGAAAGGCTGTTTGTTTAATAGGTCTTTTCTGATTTCTTCTGTTTTTTTTTCCTGGATTTGGACAGGGTGTATTCCCTTCTCTTTCAATATAATCTATATACGCTGACAGGTCATTATAGTGACAGGCAGCCGTAAGGCTACGAGCACAAATTCTACTTGATCTGTATCCCTGTCATCATCGTCATCAGGTCGGGGGTGGTTCCCGGTCCCAGACTCTGTCAGCCACATTTAAATCCCCCCTTTCATTGGCACAACACAATGAGGTAGCTTTAGAAGTCTCACCAGCAACTAATCTTTCTTTTGGCCCCCCAAACCTCACCCTAATAAATCCAGAATCTACCAAATTTTTAGCTTTTAGTATGATACCCTTAACATTGGTTTCCGACAATCCCTTACCAGTTAGCTTCAATGCATACTCCCAGATGCCCCATTCCTCTTTTTCTGTCTCGATTCTATCGCCCTGGAAGCTTAGGCTTTCTATCTCTTCTCCTCCCCCCACCTCAGTTCCCTCATCAATGTTGTTATTGTTTCCATGTGAATAGCCCATAAATAGTAGCTGTTTTTTCGGTCTGACCTGTCTTTAAAGCTTTTCTTTAATAAGCATTCGGGTGCTTTTTGAAGAGATTTGTCTCGGACTTCCCACTCAGACGACGTACCTATAAGTAGGGTTGTATAATATTTTCCTGTTGCCAGAGAACCATGTCTTTGACTTCATTAATGAATGCATCAATCTGCTTGGGTTGAAATGATTCCCATATTTTTAGTAATAGCGTTCTCCAATCCGCCCTGACTGCTCTTATGTCCGCCCTAAGTGCTTGTCTTGGATCCACCCGGAGTGCTTGTCTTGGATCCACCCGGAGTGCTTGTCTTGGATCCACCCGGAGTGCTTGTCTTGGATCCACCCGGAGTGCTTGTCTTGGATCCACCCGGAGCGCTTGTCTTGGATCCACCCGGAGCGCTTGTCTTGGATCCACCCGGAGTGCTTGTCTTGGATCCACCCGGAGTGCTTGTCTTAGATCCGCCCGAGGATTTCGATCCACCCGAGCTGTCCTTTGATGCGGACGAGGTGGTTGTTGAAGCCCCGATGTTGCCTATTTGTCATAACAAAACAGATGGCATGTTGATGGAAGAGAAGCTGTATACGATAGGATGTCATGCATATATGTCTATGGTTTGAAACAACCTCCTTGTAATCCTTTTCTTCTGTTTCTGTGATTTTCCCTCGTCATCTGACGGCTCGGATGCATTTTTCAAAAGGTTTGGAGTCATTGGACTTCCTGCTTCTAAAGTCTGACTTCCTCTTTTTCTTTGGTTTTGGTGACTGGCCTAGCTAGTTCGTCATCTGATGGCTCTGGTACATTTTCACTGGCACACTCAAAAGGTTTAGGGTCATTGGACTTCCTGCTTCTAAAGACTGTCTTCCTCTTTTTCTTTAATTTTGGTGACTGGACTGGCCTACAGGTCATCTTTCCCTGGGCCCGTACTGACCACTCTATCTTCAACTTTGGTCATTATCGATAGCAACTTTACAGTCTCCATTGGGAAGGGCAGTGACTTTAATGCGATGTTTTGCAGGTAGGACTTTACTGTATCAATCATAGCACCAGCAGAAACTTTCCCCAGCATGTTTACGACAAGCTTACTGTTGGTTGTGGCATATGGCATCAAGTTCATACTGAAAGAAAATTGAGCAACTAATGCTGGGGATGCAAGGTGGTACAGTTGCCCCAGGCTCATTACTTAAGTTGCAATGGAAGCTCTCTTATCAGCGATCCGCGGTGCCTGGTAGAGGCTACGGTCTCAGCGCTAGTAGAAAAGAAGTGTTAGCTAATTAGTAGTACTAAGTTAAAATGCTCACCTCAGGAAAGATGTTGGTGAGCTTCGTCAGTCTCGGCGGGCAGCTGCGTTTTGGTGATGGGATGGACGGCTTCAGGATCCGGACGAGGTGTTCAACGGTGCTGTCCATGCTGTCAGAGTTTGCCCGAATGTTATACAGTACTGACAGTATGGAGAAGGCAAATCCGAGAACCAACAAGTTAAACTGGTGTGGCCCAACTTAAGTCCGTCTATTCTAACAGAAATACTGTATTATGATGTGTGGTGATGGCACTATGTATGTATGTATGTAAGTCCCATAGCCTTCACGGCCGTAGGGGCATCATGACAGCCAGCAGCATGTCTGGACTTGTCACGATGACTCCTCAGGCTTATAATCTTGGCGGCGCCTATCTCCTCTCCAAGATTTGGCTGAAACAGACGGGGTTCGCCAGGCCTCCGTCCGGGTGAATGATGTAAATCACCATGTGGCATATACAAGACGGAGGTCGCCAGGCCTCCGTCCGGGTCCTGGTGATCTCCGTCCGGGTGATTTGAAGTGAATCACCAACTCCATACAGTAGTGTTTGTACCATCGCACACCGGGGCATGCCCCTACTCTTTTTCGAAAGGTGTGGTGGGATCTTTAACGTGCTCGAGGTGTGGCTCTCCTCAAACACGGGACCTCCAGTTTACGTCCTATCCGAGGGACGTCCCTAGCCGGAGCTAGGTACTCATTTACACCTGAGTGAAGTGAGGAAAATCGTGTAAAGTGCCTTTCCCAAGGGCACAAGATCGGTGACAAGGTGGGGTTCGAACCCACAACCTCTGGGGTGTGAGCCGAACGCGCTACCGACTGCGCCACACGACCCCGGTGATGGCACTGGATCCCTGTAAATCTCATCCATTTCCATGGCCTCCGGCCATCCCTTTAGGTCACCTCTGGTGATGGACACCTTGCCTTGCAGCAAGCTTGTCAATGGCCATTTCCTGAGTCTTGCCCTGGAACAGAAGACAACAGTCTTAATTAATGAGTGCGGCTTACATTTTGTGTTGCTAGGCGAGTCAGCTCAACATTTCAAGTAACATTATTTTATATATATAATACAACATATATATATATATACATATATACATATATATATTATAATAAAATCATATAAATATACATGTAATTAAAATAAAATCATAGAAATATGTCAATTACATTTTGAGTGAACTACATTGGGAAAAGACAATATAAAGAGGACTTCATTCTAGCATGACGGACCCATGTGCAACACCTGTAACAGATGTAACAAGAGTTCGACGATCACAATCCTTCGCCAAATGTTGATCGGTGGACGAATTATACATTTTTATTCTTTGATTTTGCAAATAAGAGCACCATTTACATGGGTTGTATCCGTTGATCATATTCTCCACCCAATGACAGCCTCATCTTAACAAAAAAAGGCTATTCTAGCTCTTTACTCAAAAATTATGCAAATGTGGTCATGATATGAATGAATTATGTTTATTGCTGTTCACCTTTACTTAACTTCCAAATGCGGCAAGTATGAATTTCCCAGCAATTACAACTATGGAATTATAGCAATTTCCTATTAATTATGCAAATTAGGTCTTCATTTACATAATCTATATCCTCAGATTCTCAATGCAGACCACAAAGGTACCATTTTATGCGGTGTTCACGTTTCAAGTTAACGCAATAGACGCAAGTAATTGTTTATAAATGTTGCGTTTTCTTTTAAAAGTGCGTTACTTTTTAACTTACAAAATTGCATACTTGCATATTTTATTATGTGCATTAGGCCACAGCAAGTAGATTTTAATGATGACATCCTCCTCAAATATAATACGATCGGGAGACAAAAACAAGTTTGGCAAAAAAACGTTTTTCTACATCTTCAAATTTTAAGATTCTTGTTAAACAAGAATTAAGGTGGTATGGAAGGGTGGCTGAGGACTTTGGGGACATCCTAAAAATACTACTTAGGATTACCTATGGTCATTGATTTTTTTTGTGTGAGTACCTTAGTGCAAGATGATAATTTATGCAAATTTTTATGACGTAATCATGACGTCATCTCGAGTTATGAGCCACGCCCCCTTTTTAGAAAAAATCAATTTTTCTGGCCAGCGCTTTGGTTTTTATTCACCATATTTTGTTGAAAGGCACACACTAGTAATAGGAACAAATGTATGCGAGCATTTTTTAATATCTCAAAGTGTTGATTTTTTATGAATTTTTTTCGTAAATGTCAACAGTGCCATGCGCCAGCACCCTCCCAACATATAAAGCGGCGCAGTGTGTCGGCCTCGCATACGATTTTAGTTTATAAGCTTATCTTTCAAAAAATACCACCTTTTTGTCTCTTTCCATTAACATTTTTTCCACAGTTTCATTCTTAAAATGCTGTATATGTCGTAGGGGTTACAAAATGTCCATTTTGAAGCCCGAAAGAGCCGAAATCGCCAATTTTTTGTCGCCATTCCAAGGGCGCCCATCCCTCCCACCGAAAAATGGGTCATTGGCCTGTCAGCACGCTGTATTTAGCTTACTGCGGCGCTATTTGGAAAAACAGGCCGGGGATATGTCCAGTAAAAAGAACAGCCAAAAAGAACGCTAAGATTTCGCGCGAGTAGGGGTCACGTGACTCACCCAAAATGGCGGATGGCGAGGCTTGTTTACGTGCGGAGAAAGCTGTGCGCTTTGCGCCAGCATTTGGGGCCGGTAGACGATCTTTTTCACGGCCGTATCCTACGTAGATTTGCAGATGAAGGTTTATGGACTATTCTGAGACCTTATTGGAGAAAATCTGCCGGGGTATTCTGGAGTTACGGACTTGTTTTCTAGGCCTACCCCCAGAGGAGATTGACGATCAGCAAGATCACAACACTGAAAAGTTATCGCGCGATACCGGAGTAGATAGCCCTGGAAAAAAAGCTTGCCCGGACGTGGTATGAGATAATTTATGAGCGAGTATAATTTTGTTGATTATGTGAATTTACGTTGCACGTTGTCCTAGACTTGTGGAAATAATTTTCACGCACGACGTTCTATGTTCTATCTGAAAAGTACGGACTATCTCTGTAAAAAAAAAAATCTGTTGGAACTGATTTTTTTTTGTAAGCGGCTACTATTTGCTGTATGCTGTAAATCGTAAAAGATTATTGTTAGCAGTTACCGTAAGATTATGTAAAAATTCTGCTGAAGTTTGTAAGTATCGTATTTTTTAATAAAAACGTAGATTTTATAAAAATTACTAGTAGTTCTTATCATGTCTGTTCACTAGAACGTAACGTTAACGTTTAGTAGTTACAAACGTGTTGCAGTCGATACAAACTCAGAATAATAAGACAGTGCACAGGTAGAGACGCGTTTTTATTCGGTAGAAAATTACTTAGTATGAGTTGTCTGTGAAAATCATGAAAGAACACAAAGGATAACGCCGCATAATGACGGCCGAGTATGAACTACCAAGCGCGGCTCTTTATACATGCAGTGACCCGGTCCGCCAGGCCGCTCATAACTAAACCAAGATCTAACTTGTGGCTCAAAGCAGACAGCTTCGTTTCTTTTGGCAGTCGAATGTTTTTATATAGGAAGTTGTCAGATTATTTCTGGCGTTTTTGGTGAAAATTTTGTCTGGCAGTGTGATAAACAATGGAAACGGCTTGTGTTTTCAGAAAATTATTATTCTTTGCATTTGGCAGGTTTTTACCCAAAACGTTTTGCAAACAACTGACATCAAACGCTTAGTAAAACTCTCTTTTCCAGTGTCTTTTCCCTTCCCAAAAATTATGAAAGTGAAGCTCTCAGTTTACGTAATGACCAGCGAGCCTGATAGTGATTGGTCGAGCGGCGGAGTAGCTTTTAAAAATAATGTGCACACCCCCACTGGGGCCTGGCTGGAGCGTGAAAAAAATGCACAATTTGGCGGTCAATTTGGCGGCCAAAATGTGGCCATAGTGACAAGACGAAAGAAAATTATAAAAATAGACCCAAAAGACTACCATATCAGATAGAGTTCGTAGTATTTCTAAATATGCCTCAGCTATCCTTCTGGACCACCTTAAGGCGACAAAACGTGACATCACAAACAACAGGTCTTCTATTCCTGTCCGCGTAAATGTGTAGAAAAGAGGCTTTCGTACCAGCATGGTCAGCTACTACACTGGTTATTCATATATACATCCATGTTGGAAGGCCGACAGGCTGCACACTGGTACTTGTAGGTTGCTGGTGGCTGTATGATACGGATGCTGGCAGAGCAGAGGAGGGTGGAGGCATCCATGTTGGAAGGCCGACAGGCTGCACACTGGTACTTGTAGGTTGCTGGTGGTTGTACGATACGGGTGCTGGCAGAGCAGAGGAGGGTGGAGGCGTCGTAAAATTCCGTTGTAAATTCAATAAAATGAAATATCATACAGAAACCACCCTCCTCCTCCCACCCCACCCCAAAAAGACAGACTTTTTCACATGACATACCAAGGCAGCTCTGAGTTTGAACGTTTCCACACCGTCTTCTGTCTGAAGGTCGATGATTCTTGAAAAAAGTTAAACAGCGTTTAGCAGAGTAGCTGCATTTGTAGGTAATCTGGTCATGTTTCCAATGAATGCAGTTTAAAACATAATCACACAAACCGCTCGAAATTCATTACTTTTTACGTTTTTTTCCAGGAATATGATGTTGTTGATGATTTCAGGATGTTGTATTTGTAATCATGTACATACCTTTCCACTGTAACAGTGACAGAGGACCGCTGCTCGGGATTGTCCCATCTCCTAATGTACACGACCAATGTTTTTGGCGCTGACAAGAAGACCTGTCTGGTACTGCAAACGACAGGTGGTTCTCCTTTGCATGAAGCACTGTAACACATCCTACAAGAGAGATTTGAATTTGTAAAAGAGAAAGATTGCACAACTCATCCACAGTTAAAAGTTGTCGAGCATAGTTGTTCATGATTTTAGTGGTGTTCTCGCTTATTGTTACCACTACTTCCATGAACCAGCCTTGGTTATAGGCGACGGCCACAAAGTCTCCTGGCTCTACGTTGTTCTGCACTAACTCGTCCTCTTCTTCAAGGGCCTGATTGCTGACGTCTTCCACTCTTTCTTAAGGGCCTGATTGTCTTCCTAGTTGGTACTGTTGTTTGCGTGTCACTCGATCAGCGGCTGGGGTTAGCGGGATGTCGCGTAGATCGCGTACGCCGCTTCTTCCTGTCCTGTCTATAGACTTTTTTCCAATTGACGCGTTTGCAATTCATAGTACTAGTACTTCTCCCATTCTTCCACTGAAACAGACGCCAGCAAATCTGAAGATCCAATTAGTTCCGGAGAAGGCGACGGAGGTGACAATAAAAAAAGAGCATTGGCTGCGAAGTACAAGGTTGGAAAATCTGAATGGAAATTTGGCACTGACAATGGGTCGCCGGGCCGTCTGACTGGCACGAAGGTGCTAACCAAAAACACGTTTTGCGGCGAATCACAAAGGCTGGAAAATTTGAATAGCCAGGAGAAATTTACAAGTACAAAATTTGGTAGCTCCTGGAGCCAACTACGAACCAGAAAATAGAAAAAAAAGTCAGCGTACACGTGGCTGGGCTACTGCTAGCCGATGAGACTGCCTCTCTGGCAAAACAGACGATGCTGGCGTGGCGGTTGCTCCGAATGAAAGGGCAGAATGGGCTCGCACGCTTTATAAGGGGTTGGTTGATGACGTCATTTCGGATGACCAATCACAGTGCAGTGAAGATAGCGTTTCGCCTGATAATGACTGCAGGAATGTGAATATGTATTCCTCCTGGGAGAATGCTTTATGCTAATAACGTAAACTCCGACGTCAAATCCTCTACACGACGAAAAAAGCTAACCCCGCCGTCTGCAGTCCCGCTGTCGCGAAAAACTGTAGAAATCGGGCCTTAGATAAACCCTAAGTGAGCCTCACCGACCCACGCCACCGAATAACCACCACAGACAGGATGTACACAAGTGCCGCCAGAAAGTAGAGCGGACAAGAACACAGCATTTAGTAACAACTGATAGATTTTAAACAATTTGCACCATTTTCGTATTATGTTATACTTGTAAAGTAATTAATCGGATAATATTTGTTTCATATAATTTAGTTGTTGGTACACACGATATCTGACCAGTTCCGCGGCGGATGGATACAGGTAGATTTCCCGTCGCACAACCGCCCAGCTTTAGTCGGGAGAGGAAGGCCGCTGGCGAGAGGTTGGTAGTTCACACTTCCTCGTCTTTACTAACTGTTTTTATGACGGTAACTTGGTGTAGAATGAATCTTTGAGATGCTATGGTTACTCGACAAGTTCTCGTGGAGGAAAGCCGATCGATTCTTCCGTTACTGCGTTAGTTGAGCCCACTCCATGTTCTGTTTTGTGAAGCATGTGTCCAGCCGCGCCACCACATCAGTTAGTCCAAACCCTTTGTCTCTAGTCCAAACCTTTTGTCCCTAATCTTCAGGTTACTAGTATTTTCTTCAGAACGTCTTGCACAAAGTTTATAACAATACGACCGTTTGTAAATATTCACGACAATGCTAAAAATCCAAGATCCATGTGTTGGCTGGGCGCGGCTGACATCTGTGATTGATTATCTTGTTTACGTGTTGGCGGTCGGGAGCTGTGTACTTGGCAATATGTTAGAAAGACTTGTTCCAAATAATTACACACCCCAACACATATTTTGTATGGTTGATTTTTATGTAGTCTTACATTTACCCATGCCGAAAAGAAGATGCATTTTAGAAAATTGTTCTTAAGTTAAGAAGTTTGGAAGAGCCATGTTTAATGGCTGTCGCAAATTTTCATGAAAATTTTGACACTGGTCTAAGACTAATCCCTTTCCCTTATCTTTGGTGTTCATCTCAGGTGTTGCTGCAGAGAAGACACAACATTGGTTAGCTGCGAGGACCAGCCCATGGAGCACGCCAGCGCCCATACACAGAAATTATGTATGAAAGTCAATTCATCACAGCGTGCAGCATCTTTCTGAATTGTAGTGTCTGGTGATGGTGGCAGCAAGTTGTTGACGCATCACTGAAGTTATTTGATTGGCTTGTGACAGAACATCAGCTAACTTATGGGTTGTTAGGGTTAGGTCTATTCTTGCAGCTGTCCAGCCTCTTGGAAACCCAGACTTCGGGGACTGTGCCTTGTCTCAGTGGAGGCTGGTTCAGCTTAGATAAATTTGTTGGATGTCACAGCCATTAGTGGTTTGCTGTTTATTTTTGCTCAGTTGACAAGGTTTGACATGTAGCCTTTATGATTTACCAACTGTGTTTGGTGTCTAGGGTGTGATGGTTCGGAGTGGCTGGGCAAAATACTGTCTCCATGTTCCAGTGTCAGTGTCAAATTTAGAGAAATAAGCTTGTTAACGGCCGCACTTGGAGTTTGTCCTGATCGGGACGCGGGACTCCCCGTCTCGTCCGTTACTCGGAGCCTTACAACAAGTGACATTGTGTGGTTTCCGCTGCTCAAACTAATAATTACTTCACACTCTCGGGGTGTGACAGGTCAGAACTAATAACCGGCAGGGTCTGGACCCTGTCAGAGACTCATTCATAACTGGCCGGATCTCTGGAGCTTATCATATATTTCAACATGACGTAACATTATACTAACAGCCCACGCCGGTACGCCGGTGGTTAGTCGTGCTGTGCATATTAGTTATGTCACGCTTCATTACCGTGATCGACAGTTGACGCTAATCATAGTGATAGTGCGGGCTCCTTACATCCCCCCATTCTTTAAACAAGCGACGTCCTCAGCGCTGCTATTGGGTTCCATCTGTAAACCTCTGCGGACTTAGCCGGGAAGCTACCGTGATGGTTGAGTGGTTCAGACAAAGGAGTCAGTCAAAGTCCCATTTCGACGATTTATTCTCCTGAATCCAACGTAACAATTCCCGGTGGCCGAACAACACAGAATGGCACGTGGCGGGGCTTCACCCGAATAGCAAGTTCTCTCTCTGAATCACGAGTATTCTGTCTTTTTGGAGAACTGTTTCTGGAATTTATCCTCAAGATTCTGGTTAACGCCCATGGCCAAATTAGGCGCAACTTGTCAAAAATAGTGCAATCTGATTGGAAGCCGAAAATGAGTATGTTGTAGACTTCATTCATCAAATACAGAATGAGGTATGTATCGATTTGTCAGCTTGTCATAAGTAAGACAGACGCAATCTTCTTCACCATAAAAAAACTGCATGAATTCCAGACGGGTGGGACGCAATTTCGTATAGGGGTTCCGTTTTAGCCAAAGGTCTAGGTAGTAGTCAAAAAGGCCTCGAATACAGTCCAAGAATTCGTCGTAATCCGCGTATGTCTTAGAGCTGGGGTCGCTAGTCAGTTGAATCAACAAAATCGGATGTCCCATGACCTGGTCTATTCAACTTCAGAGTACATATCTCCTAGGCTATCACAACGAACACGAATAAACAAGCTAGCTGCAAACCGACTAACTCAACATTCTGCCTAACTCAACAACCCCGAAATACTGACTAACTTCTCACTGTACACAATCAGCGCACATCAGCGGCTCGTCCCAGGTCAGTTCGTAATGGGGATATTGATAGAACGCGATGCGGCACAGCTCGTCGTGCCTCCGTGCGCCGAGCGCCCCTGGTTGTAGCTTGCTGCGGACCATAGCCCGCAGCCGGCACATCATGGACTCGAGGGTGCTAACACGTTCCCGCAGTCTGTTGATGCGCTCCACGATGTTGAACCGGGGATGCGGCCGCCAGGATGACACAAACGCCTCCATTGCGTGGCTCCGGGGGTCTGGCTGCGGAACCGGGATGTACTCCCACAAATAGTTGTAGAGGCACCTGGTCTCCGGGCCCCCGCCTCTTCCTTCTTTAACAGTCTGATGACTCGGCGGAGGCCTCGGACGTTTCTCTCGACTTCTCCCTTCTTGTACCGAAGGTAGGCGTACTCCCGCTCCATCAGGTACTTGAGCAGGAAAAGATCTATCTGAGTTGAAGATTTATTGGATTTTTGGTCTGTAGGCGGGTGGTGGTCCTCCATTGTCGTCCAGCCGCCACTTCAAATTGTTGAGGACTGTAGGAAAGATAGAATCAGTATAAGTGGTATTTGCCTTCTGTTGTATGTCCATGTTGTATAGTATTTGCAATATATTTATGAAGATAAAGTAATGTCACAGGGTTGGAATGCATTGATCGTATAAGTACGTTAGCATATATATACATATATATATATCCATCTATAATGTTACTAGCATGATTCTAATTGATTTTGTGCTATTGGTG